GTATATTCTTAATGGAAACTAACTCAAAAACATCTTTAAAATGTAATTTGTACTATTGTGGTAAATCTCTGGCATATGTTACTAGTTTAATAATTTTGATTCAGTAAATGCCACTATTTAACCTCTCATTTGTTAATGTTAATAATAACAGAAAAACGTATTATATAATATTAATGTTATATAAAAATGTTATAGCATTATAGCATCTTGGTTTGTTTTTCCATAAACTTACTCAAATTTGCCGATGCACTAAGCTAAAATTTATCCTATAAAATGTTTGATTATAAAATTAGACAAATGTGTTCTACTAAATTAGATCATTATACTTCATACTTTATAATATATCATTTATCATTTTGGAGATACAGTCTACACCTTTAAATAATTTAAAATCTTGATTTGACATTAAATTAACTAATGTATAGTCATTAGGTATATCATTATTTTCATGTGAGAAAATATTACTGAGCATAATTTTAATTTGTTTAATTTAATTCTTATGTTTACATATTACAGATACACTGCATAACTTGAGTCAGGATTATTTTTGCCACTTTACAAAGATTTAAAAGAGATGTGTAGAGCTGTAGAAAAGTGTTTTCTATATACTCACCACCTTTGTTTATCTGTTGACGTTTTTGGGTATGAGAGAGTTCTCAACTTCCTTCCCTTAGTTTTCTCTGAAAATGAAGTTGTTTATTTCATTTAACTAAAAGAATGCTAAAACTATAATTAGTAGCAAAAGATACTCATCCTGTTGCTTTATATTTACTTCATGTCCAGAAGTCCTTTGCACTTTTTAGACATATTAAAGACCCAAGGAGCTGTCTCTATACATTATAATTATTAAGACTTAACATTTTGAGAATTTTTTAAAATATTTAATTTCATCATCTGAATATAAAAATAAGGATCACATTCCATGTTAATATAAATAAGAATATTGATATCAAAATGATTATTTATTGTTATCCTAAGTCTGTTTTAAAGTGTTGTTTCTGCAGAATACAAAAGAACACAATAAAGGACAAAAAAACTTGTAAAACTCATTTCTCTTTGTTTATAATACCTGATTCTGAAAAGGAACTATGAAATGCATTAAAATGTTGACAAAATTTGCTTAATTTTGATTGACTGATTGACTTTAGATTGAGTCCTTGGTTTATTGGTTAATACCCTTCCCTATTATAATTTTCTCTATTTTTAGTGTAATCTTCATAAAGAGCAAGATTTTTTGTACAAAATTAATTTTCTGTGTTTTTGTTGACTTTGCCTGATCAAGAGCAAGTTGACCACACTTATAAAGAAGAAATATTCTTCACTTATAAAGAAGAAATATTCTCTAAAATGTGCAATTATTTTTGTATTTTTAAGTGTGTTATCATTTTGATTAAAATACATAATCAGGTCTATTTTCAGTCTCTCTTAGTGTCTCTCTTTTTTTAAAGTTATTTGCCTTTCAAAAAATCATACTTTCTCGCTAAAAAAATGAAGGACATATTTATACCTAAGTATCAAAAGTTTTCAGATGGACTCAAAAATCTCAATTTATTCTTTCACCTTAAAGAAAAACATTTAAAAATTAGTCTTGTTTTTCAGTACTGTAACAGTTATGTGGAAATGGCTGTCAAATAAGAAAATCAATCCGTCTCTCTTAAGTTTAATTTATACTGGTAAATATGACTATGAACAATTCATAATTTGTATACTTTATGGAAAGTCCCTAAATGTTTGTCACTAAACTCAATTTCCAAATATATTTTAGCCTTGGAGTAAACACAAATGAAAAATCTGCCAACTTGTTTTATAATTAATAGTGCTATGACAGTGCTTCACTTGACATTAGACAGTAGAGTCATCAGTCAAAATTTCAGCTGTTATTTAGCTGTTGCTTAATGTAAGATGTCCTGCTTTGATATGAACTTATATTTTCTACATTCAGTTTGGGTATATACTAGATCTATCCATGAAGTTTTAGAAAATACTGCTTACTTACTGAATCTCTTAGCTTTATATTCTTGATTTAAAACATATTCCACAATTATGAAGGTATATTACAATTTGTTTAATTATTTTTGGAATGACTTCATTACCTTTGTTTTTCTTGCCACAGACAGAACATTTTCTTTCCATTTGTATTATACTTATAAATTTTCGTTTTTGAAAGCTATCACTAGTAAATTAACCACAGTAAGTTTACATATTTGCCACCTACAAATAATGGTCTCTTGAGAAAAGAAAGTTTGACCGTGCTTATGTTACAGGTACACACAAGCTTATAGGTATAAAGAGTCAGTTCCATCCATGTCAGCAATCATATCAGATATTGGAGAAATTGAAAAAAAGACTAATTCAACCAAATTTATAGACATAGCTGGTGAAATCTGGCAGAGACTTTCTCTGGGGTCTGATTTTTGCCTCGTTGGCAAAAAAAAAAAACAAAAACAAAAACAAAACAAAACACAGGCTTTTAAAAATGCAATTCTAGACTCCTTATAAAATCTTCAGACAAAAGTTAAGTTTATAGCCTTAGTGAGCATTCAGTACTCACTAGCATGATGTGGACATGTTTATAGGAAAATATAAACTACTAAAATAGCTCAAAGCAAATAAATGTAGATGTGTACTAATTGAAGAAATTGAATCAGCAATGAAATTACTCATATCCATCAGGTGCAGATGTTTTCACTGCTGAGTTTCATCCAGTGTTCAAAGAAGGAATATAAACAACTTAAATCATTTATCTTTTGCATCTCCATATAAGAATTATATATTGTAGAGCACACATATTTGTGCTTGTACGACTTTGTAAACCATATATTTTTCTCTTTATATAGATAAGACACACAAGTTATTACAGTGTCCTTTTTAATACAGTCTTCTGGTTTTAACACCTATCCTTATTTTGAGATATTTTATAGATACAGATTCTGATAAAGTACTTTATTCTTGATTATTGAAACGCATATTATTCAGTTGAATGCAAATGATTATTACACTAAAGATGGAACTAGCTTGTATCTATTTATAAGTTCATTGTGGCATTTCTTATATTTTTCCAAATTGCATTTTGAATTTGCTTTTGAATGGTTGTGTTACTGGTTCTCTCCCTAATGAATGCATTGAAAAACTTTTTGACATACTTTGATTCTATATTTGTGTTAATTATATTATGCCCTCTTTTAAAATTATCTTCAAATATCTCCTTCCTTTTTTTTCTTTCTGTTTTTCAATACAAATCACACAATAGGAGAAAGACATATCCCACACACATTTTGCTATTCTGTTTCCCCCCTCTCTTCAGTTTAGGAAGAAGTTTTTATAGATTATAATTGATTTCCAATTTATTAGCTTAAACAAAAAACAGTTCATATATTTAAGACATTGATTTGTGGAATGATGTAATGGGTCTATTGATGTTTTTAAAGAAGGTAACAAAGACATGATTCTAAGAGTTGTTTTATTGACAGCTGTAAAGAACTGTAAAGAGCTGCTATAAAGAACTTGTAAGTTACATTATTCAGAACTCTAGGAAATATGAGTGAAAAATCAAATTTAACTCATAACTTTAATGTTTTCATACAGCCAAAGTATGGAAATACATGAACTAGGCATGGTGTGAATTGTTTTAATTGATTAGAAAATTTTATGTATGTATTCCAGGTAAAAGAAGTGGAGCTTCCATGAGCTTTTAAAACCAAAAGAACACTGAAATGAGTTCTATGTTTTACAAAATTACTAAGCAATAAATACAGCACAATAGCTTCTTCTAAGTCTATGCACACTGCATTACATCAGAACAAAATCTAAATTTCTGATGGATACTTAATGACTAAATATAATGCATAGTAACATAGCAGATTTAAATCTTTTAAGAATTACAATGGAATTTTCACAAATATTTGCAGAAAATTAGAAATCTCATTTTAAAGGGAAGACATATCTAAAATCAGCTTTTAGATACCAAAAATATTTGTTTTTCTAAGAGTATTGAATTTTACTTAATGAGATACAAAGGAGATGTTAACTAGTATTTCATCTTTAGAGAAGTCTTGTACAGAAAAATATTCCTAAAATATATAGGTACAAAACTAACACTGATTAGGTATAGACTAATGCAACCAAAGACTGTACAATAGATGATTTATGATCATAAAGAAAATCTTAACAAAACTTAACAAAAGCACATAAAAATTCACCTGAAAATTAAAATAAAATTTTAATACAATGCTAGCTGTTATTCAACATTGTCTATGAGATATATGGTTAAGACTTGACAGTTGTCTGGACAATTCTGAAATATGTAAATGTTAGCAAAGGATTTGAATTTGTGTCTTTAAATATTAAATAGGTAAAATTGAGTGTATTTAAAGGAATTTTTATATAATTTAGGTAGTAGTAAGTCCAGAACAGTCTCTGTTCCTTTATAACATGGCTTGCTATGAAATCCATAAATTTCAAACCAACAAAAGACTTTACAGGTAGATATATAAATTAGAAAATATAAAAGTATTGACCAGGCCATTTAATATGTTAATTCTCCCTAATTTATATTATTATCCTAGACAATTCCAAATGACTTCTTAACTCATACTCTTTCGCTAGAAGCAACCTATGACAATGTCATTAGTTTAATGCATTGTAAGTAGATTGACCTACTGTAAGAACATACATGCACACACATAATTAATTGGTTTCCCAAAATTTACTTTTACTAATTAAAAACACTTTTGTTTTTCAGAAATTCCAGTAAAAATGATATTAAGGAAATGTAATTCCATTTTAATTTATCTGTAGGAATTTCTTCCATCTTAATTTATTTGATAACCATTTTGATATCCTTAATGATATGTTCAAGTCACTCTTTGATTTGTATTATCACATACAATAGCTTTATTAGAATTTTAGAGCATTGTATATTATGTGTGTATATATATATGTATATATGTATGTATGTGTGTGTGTGTGTGTGTGTGTGTGTATACAATATTACTCTAATTTTTAAAAATCTGGAACATTTCCAAAATCATTTATTCATATGTGTCAGAAAAGTATTGTTTTCAATAAGGTAAAAGCCATATGGGTAATGATAGGCATTAAGTACAGTTGGAGTCATTTAAATTTTCTCAAATAGAATACAAGTTCATTGTCACACCTACCTATTATTAAGATATGGATCACATAAGCTAATATATTCAGTAAAACAGTGGCCTTGAGTTTTTAAATAAATATTTCATATCTCATCATAGATATTTCTGTTCTCTTATTTCTCAAGTTTCTGATGCTGGCATCTGGTTGTCTTTAAGTTATTTACCAAATATAGAATTCCAGACTCTATTTCATTATAAAATTGGCCCAGACACAGTATCAGATATTAATGTGCATACATTGTTAAATTGTGTATTTGTCTTTTAAAAAAGCTTACCTAGATTGCATGGATTTGATTTGTGACTACAAAATAGCATAGCAGTATTTACAAGCTCATTTTTTCACAACACTTTTTTACAAGCTTCCAAGAAAATAAGAAATCCTTCATTGATTTCCTTCATGTGAAATAATTGCTAATTTGTCTACGCAGTAGAAATGGAAGGGGAAGATATTCTATTTACAGATATAGGGAAACTGATTCCACCTATTTCTGTAGTAAGATGAAAAAACAGATGACAAGATATTTGTGGTATTAGCCAAGATGTCTCCCTAATGATACTAAAGTAAATTTGCACATTGTACATTCTATTCATCATCTCCAAAATGGGTATAACACCAGCTGTATCTGTGATGTACCAGCAAATGACTAGTTAATAGGCATTCTACTAAGCCCCTCCCTCCTCCTTGGGGAGAAGAGAATGAGCTGGCAAATTAACTCTATCTCATCCATTTGCAAGGGCAAATGCAAAGAGGAATAGGGTATGTTCTGGGGGGGAAAAGGTCAAGCTAATTTTCCCTCCAAGTCAGCAGGTCTAGTTATGTCTTTCTAGGCAACTTGAGGAGTAGAATCCTGCCCAATATGTATATGCATATGAATCTTTACAGTGTTCCTCCTTTGTGAATTCATGCTATGGCTGAAAGTGGCTCATATTGACCCATAGCTATTGATCGTGATCATCTTATCTCAGTTCTTCATTCAGTGATGTCACATTGGTAACATAAAATCAACCATGGCAGTATTATTTATATACAGAAACTGGCAAACATTGCAGTTATATATTTTTCACTGTAGAGTTGATTGTTAAACACTTGTCAACACTACATGAGTTCGTCTGAGTTTTCATTATGGCATTCAAGAAAAGCATTTAATACTGAAATCTTCCGGCTGTAAAGTCATGCATCCAAGCTTTTGAGTTAGGAGTGGCAAAACTGTTAATCAGTGCATCTTCTTTTATCAAGCATATAACTTTTCTGGCTTTAAGACAACATTTTCAACATCATGGATGCTTTTCCCATTTAAGTGTTCACTAGGATAGTCATGACTGTAAGCTGTACCATCACTAATTGTTGACACTGTGTAAGAGGCGCTGCGAAGAGCATCTGAGTGGGAAAAGCTGTTTCCAAATTGGATTCTGTATTGATTCCAGTTTCTTCTCAGGATTGCTTGAACCTATCAATTGAAAAAAAAAATGGACAAAATCATTGTCCATTGAATTGAAGGTATTATGATTAATAGTACCATAACAAATAAACTATGTATAGAATATTTTTAAAATCATTGATTACTCTTGAATAATGCTTTGTTTTCTTTGTGAAAGAAGTAAATTATGTAAACCATCTTTGTGCAATCACTTAATTATTTTGTACTTTTTTTTTTTTTAAGATTTATTTATTTATGCTTACAGAACGAGGTATAGGCCAGAGGTATGGTGAGTGAGATGATTCACCAGAGTCAGAGCAAGGAGGAGAACAGGTCGATCTACTGAAATAAACTGCTGAGGGGAGCAGTGGGCGGATCAGGAAAAGTCTGCCACACCATGTGGGTCAGCTCCCTGGCTGGGGATTGAACTCGTGCTACAGTGGCTTTAGAGAGCTTCATAATACAGTGCTTTTACCCATTGCGCCACCAGGGAGAGCCTATTTTGTACTTTTTAAAAGAGCAATTAGTATTTCTTTTTCCATGTCCTAGTTTTATTTTTAAATCTTTATATATTTTTGTGAAGAACTAGGATTCAGGCTAGAGGTGTGGTGGTTAGAGGATTCGCCTGAAAGAGTGGGGAGCAGAAGAGGCAGACTGACTGAAATATATGCAGCAGGTGAGACAGAAGATGTCTGCCTCACCATACATGGGTTAGCTCCCTAACTGGGGATTGAACTCAGGCCTTCTTGGTGGCAGTACTAAGATGCAACCCTTAGGCAACCAGGTAGGCCCTCTATGCCTTAGTTTTAAAGCTTTAAAAATGTGTGTGAATATCTACTTGTCAAGTAATTAATCCAGGCTTCCACCTACAAAATTTATTTAGTTATACATTAGTAATTTTATTTAAAAAAGATGACTGATGAAAGTTTACAAAAAGAAGAAAAGAAAAAGAAGTTAGGGATAAAGGGAATATAAATTATCACTATTATCATAGCAGTAGCAGCAGCAGCAGCAACTTTTCAATGAGTGATTACTATAAGCCTAGATTGTGCTACATTCTGGGAAATAAAGGAGCATGACATCTGTTTGCATGAACTTACTACCCAGATTAAACAAATGGGAAACTTAATGTGAAAAATAACATCAGGAATTTCACCATCCACATTTTTTTTTTCTTGGACCTCCTCTGCATAATGATTTTGAAGTTTAGTATTCCTTTATCTCTGGGACTAGAGACCAGGGTTAGTTTGTTTATATATAGTTACTGATTTTCATTGATATAAAACTCTAAGGTAATTTTCTTCATTTTGAGTCAATAAGTACAAATAAGTATATTCAAAGTCATCTCCATCTTAACCACTTCACATTTGTACATGTCTAATGAGTAAGCAGAGTGTTTTAGAGCAATCTTCTTCCATGTTATGAATGTATCAAACACATCCCTATCCCTGATCTATATCTTTCAAAAGCATGTATAGCTTTGAATGGTTTTCTTCACTCTGTACTGTTTGTTGACTCCTTGGTTGCTTTCCAAAGGAAGGATAAGCATCTAAAAGCAATTTTGTTTAGTATTTCATGTGCTACTAACATATTCATGCCATACTTAACTTTCTACAATTGATTATACAGAATTCTTTAGCTTTTAGCTCAGTGCAATCACATATTGAAATAAATTATTAAACAATCATGTATAGGGCCTCCTTTGTGGCTCAAGAGGTTAAGTGGTAGCATCATGAATCTATCTGCAGCCACTGTAACAAGAGTTTGATCCCTGGCCATGGAGCTAACCACAGGGTGCAGTAGACCTATTTTCTCTTGCATAAAAATCTTAAAATATTGAAAGAAAATCATGTATAGAAATAAATATTAAACTTGATTCAGTTGTCATTGAAAGGGAAGATAGCCAGCTGTTATTAAAACTATGAAATGTCTTTCATTACTTTACATTAGGGTTACACAAATAGTGAGGCCAACTGTTTAGAATATTTTTAATACCATTACAATCTTATATACCTTTAAATATTTGATAAGAAACCAGTACTAGACTTTTCAACCTAAATCATTTAAAAGATACATGATAGAACTACATATAAAAACTATTTAGATCTCATTATAGAATATAAGTTCAGTTATTCACAGTAACATTTTTTTTGATTTTATAAAAAATATATCTATTCTCAGTTGTTAATTGTATCTATGTGACTAAGAACCAATGCGAGACTCATCAACCTAAATCAATTAAGAGAGTTACATATAAAAAATCTATCTAGTTATCATTATAGAATATAAGTTCAGTTATTTACAATATTTATTTTTCACTTTATAAAAATATCTACTCTCAGTTGTTAATTATTTCCATGTGACTAGGGAGAGCCCTTCTGATGAGTGAAGTTTCCAGCTTATGTTAACATTGCATATTTTTGTCTGAGTGGATGAGGGAGAGGATGAAAATGACCTGAGCACTTGTCAAGCCACAGTTATTTAACTAGTGAGAAATGCAAATAGAAAGAGCTTGGCTCAAAATTAATATAAATAAAATGTGAGATTAAATAAATAGAAATATTAAGCTAAAGGCAAATTGTTTAATGTAGAATGCAAGAAGGAAACAGTCTGAGCGAACGATTTTTAAAAAGTACATGACATAGTTGGAAACACAGAAAATTAATTTGGCAACTGTTTTCATCTTATGAGAGTGGGAAAAACTAGAAGTCAAAGAGACAAAAGGAGGGATCATTGTATTTCTTAACATGAGAAGTGAATCATACAAAACAAGGATTCTATCTTGAGAGATTAAAAAATAGGGATGGATATTGAGGATGTGAAGAAATGAAGGATTTGGCAATTACTTGGCTTAAAGATTTTGTATTATTGTAATATCTCTCTGCCAAAATTTTCTCAACTTTAGGACTTGGCAGAAGATCAAAGTCTGTGTCTCTTTTTCTTACACAGATAAAGAAGAGAGCTACACTTTAGCTGAGATAATCCTTGGGCACATTTTCTAAGTAGAGGGCCAAAATTTGAAATCTTAGTCCAATATGAGTAGTATATCCATTTGCACATGTATTTTTTTTAAATAAGAGTTGTTTGATAAATGAAATTGGAATCTATAATGTACTGAGTGTCTATCAAGGACTGAAAAATATTTATATTTCTTGCTTACATTAATCCCTGTGAGTCTTGTGTAAGGAATTGCTTTTATTTCCTTTTAATACAAGTAGACACTGAGATTCTGGGAGCTTCACAGCATTTTCCAGGAGTTTTGCAAACAGAGGCAAAGTGGCATCTTTGGAATTTAAATTTATTGCCAAGTTAATGCCTTAATTCAGTACTGTGTCTTATCACAAAATATTTTGCTAGTGGTAAATGTTTGTAAACTTAAAAATTGCCTTTATAAAAATCCACTCTTTCTGCAGAGGCAAAAGTGTACTTTTCATATTGATGCTTGTTCTTTGGCATGTTTTTTCATCTACATTTAATTAAAAAATCCTATATAGACTGTACTTAGGATTCTCCAAGTATGACAATAATAAATCTTTGGTACATACTAGCTGCTTTTGAGTGTAATTATCAAAACAAATGATTTAAATTATTCCTAATTATCTGTCTATACTACTCATTGACATTAGGGAAATAAATGTCCACTTTTGTCTTCCTCATACCACTTAAAAATATGAAAATATTCTGCTGACATGTGACAGTTCTATGTACCATTATAAGTGAATACATATAATATCCATACTTTAAAGGTAACCATTTATATTTTAATTAAGAATTAAACATGAAATGTTTATATATATGTTATGAGAAAAAAATACCTCAGACATGGGGTAAAGCAACATTTAAAATTTTTTCATGGTATGTACTTGATTTTCGAATAGGCTTGTTTTATATAAGAGTGGTTCTTATAAAGTCATACCAATTGGTTCCAGATGTTTCCAGTCTGAAACTCTGTGATATGCTTTGTGTTACCATGTATCCCAGATCATTCAGTTTCTGTCAGTATTTCTAAGCTTTATTGAATTTTGCCAAAAGCCTCAGATAGGTTAAAATTTATCAAGTAGATTAAAAACACATATAAGAGCTGAATCAGTATAGTTGAAACCACTGAGCTATACAGCACTCTTGATATGTAGAAACAATAAGATAATAGTTTCTGAAATGCCTGAAGCTTTCCAATTAAAAAAATCTTGGTTAAAAATTCTTGAAAGAGGTAAGAGCACATTGTCATATTATGAGCTAGAACATTCTTTTTTCCTACGGTTCCTAATCCATTGTATGTATACCCTATAAAACAGAGAATTTACTCCACTTATATTTTTTACTATCCACCGTGAAACTATTTTTAAAGACCACTTTGTAGGTGGGCATCCCTTAGCCCCAGGGGGGAAAAAATGGAAAAGGGCAAAAACATTTATATTTTGTATGAGAGTGTATAGTCTATGTGATAAAGGATTGCCTGGTACTGTAACTATGACATAGCCCAGAATTTAAGGGGTTATTCAAAAGTTAGATCAAAAGACTAGTTGAATAAAAGTCACAATGGGATATTTTGAAGTGTGACTGAATTTGTTCTACCCTTCAACTCCAATATGGCCTAAGAGAGTTTGGTTGGAGAGTTGGATCTATCAAAAGAGATTTTATGTATCTTCCTGATAGATAGAGATAAAATTTGAAATAGTTATTACTGAGGAATTTATACTTCTGCCTCATTTCTTGAAGGAAAAGCATGTGGTAAATATAAAATGGTAGAAGGAATAAAATGAAGCACCATACCTCTCCATTAAAGAAGCAGAAAATTGTAGAAACCAAAAGACCCTGTAAAAGAAAAATAGATTTATCTCATTCCAGATGGAGAGATCCATTACTTATAACCAACCAGCTTGCTACATATATATATATAGTCAAAAATAAAACCAAAACTGTCTATAACTTAATGCTAACCTTTGCAAGCTGCCTGAGCACCATACCTGATAGTTCATGAGAATGTGCATGATGTAGTCATATACCTCTTCTGCAATCCTTCCTTCCGGTCTCCAAGGAATAAGCACAAATTCAATGCCCAGTAATGGTACCAGGATAAGTGTAGCTCTTACAGCTTTCATGTAGAGATTGGATTCTGCTTGGTGAGTAACTTTTAATTTGGTGATGAGAACACGTACAATATTTAATAGGAAGAAAAGATTCACCTGGAAGAAAGGGCATATGAAATGATTTCATATTTAAGTGAAGAAGCATCACTGAGAGATCTTTGATGAAAAAAAATCTGAGTATTTTCTCACATACAAGGATATTTTATTTTAAATGAATATTATGCAAGATTTTAATTTGCATTTCTGGAATTAGGATTGAGTAATTTGACAAATATATCAACTTTTATGGATTTAAGATTAGAAAAATGAAATTTTGGAAGAATTACTGTGGAACATATTTAATTGAATGTTCATTTCAGTTCATATTGTGCATTTAAAAAAAATGCCATGCTCACCACACTAAAGTTTTGGATAATTTCAAACTCAAAGGCAAGCATTGTTTATAACAAATGTTAACAGTTGGAAGTGTCTACTCTGTATATCCATGCAACATACTTCTAAACATTTATAATGTAATAACCATTTTCTCCCATTTTGTATATCTTTACTGTGTTGCTTTATATAGTAATATTCCCCAGAGTTTCCCAAGATAATACTGTACTTCTCTTTATCCTCATAAGGATACCAAGTCACATAGATGCGCCAATTCAGGTCATTTAGAGATGAAACAAATTTGGTGCCTCACAGAGTCTTCTGTAAGTTGCTTTCTCTAATTATATATTGATTGTGTGGTAACAGCTTTTCTAAATGGAAAACATTCTCTGAATGGGAGATAGAAAACTTCAAAAATGTAGTGGAGATATATGACTTGGCAAACAGTTATGCTGAAATATTCATTTCTTTCTCTCTCCCTTTGTTTACTACTTTCTCTCTTTCATATCTTTACCCATTATCTTTACTCATTATCTTTCACAGTTATCATTTTCTCTCTGCGCTTTCTTTATACCTTCCAGAGTATTATGGCCATTAACAGATGAGCCCCTTAGCAGCTAAATGTATTTTTTTCCCTTCTTTTCCTACCCTAACTTCTAGCATGTGTGTTTTAATAATCAAAAAAATTATCATTTAATATATAATTTATATACACACAATTTAATCAGTCATAAAAATGATAGTATTTTAATACAGAAAAAATTCACAAATTTCATATATTTGCTGATTTAAGGCATGTTATAAAAATAAAGGTATAAACACTCTACTACTATTCATAGAAGATTCAGTAGAGTATATACTTCAGAAACATACAGTTTATTATAATCCTGATGGCAATACATCTATGTAAAGTAACATGTTACAGACACAAGAATGTCTGTGGTAGACAAAAACAGAATAATCTATTTCAACAGGTGTGACAATGAAATGTGACAAATCAGCACATCAGCTGTTATTCCACCACCCATCCAACCATACTCCCTTCAAGCATTCATGGATGTTTGCTATTTTAAAATTTGTATTAAATGGAAACTACAATCTCTAGGAGAAAAGATAATGCCCTTTTATCTGTTTGTAGATCTGAAACATAGGGTATATTATAATCCAGGAATAAAAAATCATAAAAAATACAAATGCTGTCATTCAGATCATCATTATATGAAAATCATTAAATGCAAGGCTCTTGTTCATGGCAAGCAAGTCTGATTTAAAAGATCAAATTAGAAACTCACACTCTTCCATCTTCTGCAAATACTTAATTTTAAATAAAAATGGAATAAAAATTTAATCAGATGAATCTATCTGAATCCCATCTAGCTTACTGGACTAGTTAAGGAGAAATGAAAAAATTTACTTCTGCCTAAAAGCCATAAAGCTCACAGATATGATAGATGCAACAATACATTTTCATAAGATAGTCCCCTAGGACCATGAAAGCAGCTGTGTGACTCTGAATGTGGCTCTCCATTCCAGAACAGTCAGCAATCATTTTGCACTGAAATAACTTAAGCATGTCTTTGACTTAAGATCAAATAAAATATACCCCTCCTTCACTTTCCCTAAAAAGGACCTAAAAAATATTGTAGCCAATTCAATACCAGCATCCTCAGGGGGGAAAGTGACAGAGAACTCTGAGTGGAAAGAAGCTGATTGTCATTGGAATGTTTATAAAATTTCTGCAAAAGCATGTGACCATACACACAATTGCCAGAGCCTCTCCCAACATCATGGAATTGGTCAACACCAGTGGGAGCCCTAGATCTTAAATAAGAACAACACAGTATATCCTTGAAGAAAAATGAACTCCTGATCTTGTTACAGGTCATCAAGGGGAAAAAGTTTTATGCAAACAGTATGGATTTTCACCTCCTTTCTCACTGAGCATTACAAATGGATTATACTCCTATATGATATTTTAATCTAACTACCATTTACTCTTCCCTGCCACAGTTGATGTGAAAAGGATTTTCCAAGGATTGTATTAGTTGCTGTTACATTTTTTTTCCTGTTTGTTAGGTGCTTTTACATATTCCTTAAACTCCTATGACATTGAAGTTTGAATTAAATATCCTTTTGCAGAGTCATATCTCTTGTGATAAAATTTAGCGTTATATTTTGTTTGTAAGCTTCTTGGTGGCCCAAAGAATGCATCTTATTTTCTTTGCACTCTTCTCAGAACAGAGCTGTGATATCATGTAGAAATTACAGGTGAAGGGCCCTCCCTGGTGGTGCCGCAGGTTAAAGCTCAGCACTGCAAGCGTGTTCCATCCCTGCCCCATAGGTCATCCACTTGGTGTGGGAGACCTCTCCTGACCATCCTGCTGCTCCCCTGAGTGGTGTACTTTATTGATCTGCCTGTTCTGCTCTCGATTCTGTCTCTGGTGAATCCTCTCACTGCCCCTGCACCTCTGGCCTGCATCCAGCTCTGTATGAATAAATAAATAAATCTTTAAAAATAACAATAAAAATAAAGAAAATAAATTACAAGTGAAGGGCCCTCCCTGTTGATGCAACAGGTTAAAGCTCAGTACTTCAAGGAAGCTACAGCCACTTTAGTACAAGTTCGATCCCTATCCCCACTTCTCTCCTGACCTGCCCGCTGCTTCCCTCAGCATTTTACTTTGTCAGTCTGTCCTGCTCCCAATCTGTCTCTGGTGAATCCTCTCACAATTCCTACACCTCTGGCCTGCATCCCAGTTCTGTATGCATAAATAAAAAAAGCCTTAAAAATTATAAGTGAAAACACTTTTTAAAGCATTTTTCAGACTATTCTATCCACTATGTTAATTGTATAACAGGATATAACTCACTTAATATTTACAGTACACTATGAGTTTCTTATTCTTATTATTCCATAGTTACAAGTAAGGGGAAAAAGGGCACAGAAAGTTAGAAAGCAAAACAAAAGAAATCTTGCACTAAGGTCATAGCCAGAGTGGTAGAGCTAGTTTTAATGCTGGTACTTAGAGTACAAGCCATAGATAATGAGACCACTTTCAGCTTAAACAGTATGTCACACATTTTCCTACTGTACTGGGAGCAAAAGAAAGAAATGCTCCTGCCTCCAAAATTTACATTAGTATCTACATGAAAGTATATTAAAATTGCCATAGAACATATATTAAATTCCATGTGTTGCTATTTTTAACTTGTTTAAAATTTGTGACAAAACACAAATCAGAAATTTGATACTTGATGTGTGTTTTATACACATTAGACTAAACTTATGTTTTAACTCATGTAATTCCTTGGTTAAAAAAATAATAAACTTGGGGGGCCTCCCTGGTGGCGCAGCGGGTTAAAGCACAACACAAAGAAGCTTAAAACCACTTCCTCATGAGTTCGATTCCCGCCTGCCCCGGAGGAGCTCCACATGGCGAGGCAGACCTCTCCTGACCCGCCGGCTGCTCCCCTCAGCAGTGTACTACGTCGATCTGCCTGTTCTACTCCCCACTCTGTCTCTGGTGAAGCCTGTCGCCGCCCCTGTGTCTCTGGCCTGTACCCCAGTTCTGTATGCACACATAAATAAATCTTAAAAAAATAATAATAAAAACTTTTTTTTTTTTTTTACATCTTGTATTACATAAATGATCAACTTGTATGGCAAATAAATGAAAAAGAAAAGTTCGAAAACAGGGTTAACATCAGAATTTAGTCTCTTATCTATACTTTTGAAAATGACTTAATAATATATCTGAGGGTGGATTGAACAGTGTTTTAACATAACTACACAGTAAATCGAAGATAGCAAATATAGTATAATAATTATAAAATCTTTGTCAGAGTAAAAATAAGACTCACAGGTAACTTTGAATTTTGGCTGAGAAGAACCCATATGTCTTTTCACAGATATAATTTAATATCAGCTATAATTACAATCTTAGAGACTAATTGAATTCTGATCTCTAATGTTTTGTGAGAGAAAGCATGTTAATGTGACTTATTTTATTTCCCTATTTAAATGATGAAGTAAAAGTATTCAATGTGACTTCTGTTGCCCTGCAATTACACTTAAAATTGTCTAATTGTTGCATTAAATGATGCCCAGTCTAATAACAAGCAATGTTTCAAGAAGACACTTGTTTTCCAAATGAAAGTCTTTTGGTTTTAATTATTGGAATATTATTTTATTGCCAACATGAGCATGTGGATTTTATTCTGTTTCACATGCCACTTTCTAGAACCATCTTCTTGTTTGCTCTCTGCCCCATGAGGCTGACCTCCCAGACATTCTTGCTTCTAACATTTGCTGAGTGTGGCCAATGGGAAAAACCACGACATCAGAACATGGGAACGATGAGAAATTTTCTTTGCCTGCTAGTCTGTGGTTTGGGCCTGATAGTCTGTGGTCTGGGCAGTGGCCGTGTTCCTTGACTTCAGGCTCCTGTTGGGTGACCCTTCCAGGTGCTCACTCAGTTCCAGCAACATTGTCCTATCCCCACTTTGGATCTAGCCATAGTAATGAATACCTTGCCACTGTAGGTCCCTGGCGCCTTGCCATCCCGTATGAATTAATTCCTTTATTCTTTCTGACATCTCAAATCTAATACTGCCATTAAACCTTTTCAATTAATTACTGTGAGTACATCATCATTTTTTTTTCACAAATTATTCCCCATTGGGGATCCTAAAGGATAACACAAGCCAGATGATTCATAAGATAAAAATGAAATGTGAACAACTAATGAATGAGAATTAATTACCCACCAATAGAGCTGCACAAATTGGGCCATGGATAATGTAGAGGAGGTGAGTATCAGAACTGATCCAGCAGCTGGGGGGAGAAAAAAATATGGAAATTAGATTAAAGAGTTTTGTTTTCCTTAATTTGAAGCAAAATCTGAGAGTTTATCTTACTTGTCATTGTAGTACAAACATCTGGCAACAGCATGTATGCAAGCAGGAATCAGTGGAAATCCTGTAAATATCAAAGACAAAGAAAATGAATAGATAACCTCTATAAATGTAAAATGTGTCATACAATATGCCAGGTACTCTAGAAACAAAAGTAACTGGTCATTACATGTTCACTAAAGAAATGTTAACTGTATAGTCAAACTGTATAGTCAAATATATTTTCAGGCTTGTGCTGTATTTGTGTATGTTTTCTTTTAGTATAAGTCATACTGAATCAGTTATTATAGGCTAAGTCAAAAATGTCCTAACTAACTCCTAATGTTTAGAAAAAAATAAGGTATCAAACACTGTGAAGTAGAATTGGTCAATATTTTATAGATGATCACAAATGGAACAAGTTGAGACAGACTATGAAAAAGAGAAAGGAGAGCATATTTTATGGATCAGAAATTTTGCATGGTTTGAGCATTCTAAATCAGATCTTTCAAACAGGAAATGAAGAAATATTTTATAAAGCTAATACAAATGTATTAAACAATACATGTGTATACATACTTCTACTTTGCCTAGTATCTGAATGGATACATAGGCCAAGTGTAGTTTTATTTACATTTCTGGAAACTAGTTGTTTTGAACTCATATTTAGCATTTTATATTTTACATTATTCCAGTTATGTTTTTAAATGTGGTCAAAAAACACATCAGTGAATACTTTATGGGAAAAAAAATAGGCCTTTTGCATAGAGCTCAATTACTGATCTCTACAAGTTTGTGCTAAAATAAAATATTTTAAAATACTTTTTAGAATGAAACTTCAAAACTGGTTAAGCCAGTGCCCTAATTTTTCACACAAGGAAAAAAAGATTCTGAATAGTGTGAAGACTATACCCCTAATTCATGATTCTAATTCTACTGTTCTAGTCCCTACTTATTCAGCTAAGACATACATTGGAAAACTAAGTAGAAAGAAGATTGTATTATTAATTGATCTCTGATTACTTACCACAGTGAGGAAAGATTAATCACCTGGTATTATTTTAGAATGACTAAAAATAAGTATATTTTATTACAAAATATATTTTATTGCTATGCATCCTCCAAAAGTTTTCTTAATAAATGAATCAGCAGACATGAATAATGACTGGAACTTACCCCATCCAAGAAAGTAATACCACATCAAGTGTTGCTTCTCTGCGAACACTGCCACCACAATGAGTGTGTGCAGGTAAATGCCTTCACAAAGCATCCAAAAGTAGTTACACCCCATCAGGTAAAGATGAATGAACTGTGATACTTTACAACTAATCTGTGAGAAAAAAGAAAAAATAATCACAGTTAGTCACAAAAAAATGTACATACTTACATTCATAAACTAAAAGAACACTACATTCATTCTCATCTAATGTTGCCTCAAAAGATTTTAGACATGGACTCCAAAGATTTATAATGGTAACCCTTCCAGAAAATGTATAAGTTCATTTTATACTGTATTTAATGATTGTGTATTTTCTAAGTGTGGTCCAGTTATCATGAAAGTATAGTGTAAAAAAATCGCATGTGAATAACTATACAATTGTTGTTATCTATTTTAAAAATGTCATCTTGTGCCTGATTGTTGTTTTCTGTTGGAAAAATATTAATAATTATTTTAATAATTTTAAGATTTATTAAAGTACAAATGAATTTGGGAATTTTGTGTCTTTACATGCTACCAGTCCAAATATTTACAAATAATAATCCAAAGAATCCATTCTTTATTTTGTTCAAGTATGGGATCTGGGAGTTTCATGTAAGTAAAAAAAAAAAGAATTTTCCTTACTCTTTTCCAGAGTTATCTACTTTCTCTGTTTTTAAAGGGGCAGGAAAAAGGAGATTCAAATATAGGGTAAAGGAAGCACAAAGGAATAAAAAATATACTTCACTCTTTTCAAAAGAAGAATAAATTTAAAACTTTGAATTGCATGGCTAGTTATACTTGCCAGTTCTAATTTCTGGTCTGGAACTCAGTAAATATTTCTGCAATTATCATCATATATTTTTCAGCTAAAATATTGTAAATCAAATGCACTGGAAGATAAATATTGGGTTATTAAAGAATAGGAATAATAAAATTTGTATGAACTAGCTTAAATATTTTAGGTTTTTTTAATCTAAAATAATTCTGAAGCATGTGTTATCACTAGTCTTATATTCTACAGCTAAAAATCCTTGTACTAGAGGAGTTAAATGATTGTTAATATTCTTTTTTTGATTGTTAATAATGTAAAACAACAATCAAAATAACACCCAGAACACAAGTCCAAAATTCACTTTGTTCTTACTACCATGCACAACCTTTGTTCTCACTACCATGCACAGTCTTCTGACTGAAAGTTATTTATAAAGTTTATTCAGCTACAGAATACATGGCATTACATTTTAGCATACTTGTTATCATATACATATTAACACAGTCTTCTCAAAGGTAAAAATGAGCTATATGTCTATATTATAGAAAAATGACAGATCAGGCTTTCCTGGTGGTGCAAAGAGTTAAAGCCCAGCATTTACAAAGCTATCTGCAGCCATAGCAGCTGCAGCGGGAGTTGGATCCTGGCCAGGGAGGTGACCTCCACAGTGCAGAAGACCCCTCCTGTCTTGCCAGCTGCTGCCCTCAGCAGTTATTTCAGTAGATCTGCCTGTTCTGCCCCCTACTCTGTTTTTGGTGAATTCTCTCATCACCTGCCCCTCTGCACCTCTGGCCTGCACCCCAGCTCTTGTATGTACAGATAAATAAATTAGTCTTTAATAATAAATGACAGAGCAGCTTCAAATAAGGACCTATGTTGTATAAGAAATTCATCTCTAAATGGATTTCTAATGCTTGGTTTCATTAATCTGTAAACTATTATGATTAAAAAAACTTAAAGCATGCTTCAGAATATTTTTAAACAGAACAATGATGATATAGACAATAAAATTGCCTTTAAAATCTCTTGCTCAGCCACTTTATCACAACACTTTAAATATCCTTGCTCTAGAGAAGTTCACTCAAAACTGGCAGGACATTAGCCAGATTTTTATATTGCTAATTATACCCCAATGTATTTCCTCACCCAGTGATTTTAGAGTGGAACATATACAAGCTTGAGCAATCCGGATGCACATGTGCAAACAATGTAGGGAATTTAGAATTTTGGAAATTACCCTAAAAACACACATAAAACACATGAGGGTATTGTTTATTAACCCACTGGAATTTCTTTCCCTTCCCTGACTTTAGTAACAAGATAATTTACATTGTTTTACAAAACCACTTTAAATATATACATATACAATTCTCTTTCACAAATCTACATCCAAAACTGTAGTATACATACTACAAACATTATGAAAATAAGCAATTTTAAATATTTGAAAATATTTTTGCTATCCATGCAGATATTTCAAAAAGTTTACTTTTGTCTATAGCTTATAATAAGATAGGTGCATTTGTGTAAGTACAATTTAGAATATGTTTTTAAAAATAAAACTTTCATGCTATGGCTGCCCTGCTTATTTTTGTATAATTTTGACACCCTAAAATTTGTGTTTCTAAAAGAATTGCAAGGAGGCACTTTATAAATGTATTGGAGATAAGGAGGACTTGATAAGCTCCTTTAAAATTTCTGTATTAAAGGACGTTTAACAATATATAGGGGATGCATAACTCACTTTTCTCTGATTTTCTTAGGTTTCTTAAAGTCAATTGAAACATCTTCCATTTGTGTGTGCTATGTTTTCTAACTACCCAGACTTAGTTGATTTGATTTATTCTTTAATTCAGTTGAGTAAATGTTACAGTCATTAACCTTTCTTTGCCACCAAAAGCAGGACTCTAGCTATAAAATCAGGAGAGATTATGTGTAAATATAAATAATTGAAACAAGAGTTGAACTCCTAATTTGTCCACTTAATCTTTGTAAGTTGGGAATATTGAGAAATATTTACCTTTAGATATTGTACTGTAGCTTCTCACCCCCTCCCCGCCAAAACCCCCACCCCCGCCACCCACACAGTATCTTGTCTGTCCTACCAGCTCCTTGAACCTAAGGATTTAACCACCATTTACTTACAGGATTGGTAGCTACTAAAGCCTGGTTGTTGGCCACTGCAGTGAAATGAATGATTGTCACAATAGAATTGCAAACAAAAGAGAAGAACAAGTTTTTGTGCAAGGTAATCCTTTGGCAACTTAGGCTCCTAAAAAGCAAGAAAAGCCAAAGCATGTTGACATCATAAAATGTTTCCATATTAAATACTGTTAATACTAATTCAAGCCGTTGCTCTAAATTTGGAAGACGTTTTTTATTCTCCCCAAGATTAACTATTGATTAAATCTTAGTTTTACCTAATTACCTACAGATAACGTAGAGCCAAATTAGTAGCTTCTGTATAGGTAGACGTATTTTGGGATAGGAAATATATCCTTTAAAGACCTTTACATAGAATTCATCAGTTTAACTCTCAATATTATTCATACTTTAATTAAATCTAAGAACTCTGAAACAAGTGATTATAAAACTCATGTTAAAATTAGTGTTTTGAATTTGTCAGATTTTCACATAGACAATCTTCCTTCATTATACCTTATAGGTTGTTCTGTTTATATAACCTGTGTGTGGTGGTAATGTACTTTTTAGGGTCAGAATTAAATAACCATAATCATGAGAAAAAGGAAAACTATGGTTTTATATCCAGGGCCATTGATTAAAGAAACACAAAAAAATAAAACTTCATGATTTTCAGATTATAAGCAAAGGACTAGGAGTTGCTGCTTAGACTGCAAGTCAGAAATACTTAAAGATAATATACGGGAATAAAGTAAGAAAACTTTCAAAATAGTAACATGTGACAAAGGAGCTAAAGATATGAACCAAGGACCATAATACAAATAGCATTTATATTATAAATAATAGTATTTATAATATACATGAAAACATCAGAATTAAGTAAAATAAAATGCTAACTGTAGTAAGGTGGAAACAGTTAATTTTTCTATGTACACTTAGATCCTCTACTTATGATCATCTTTATTTCTGTTCTGAATTCCTTTTTCTTATGACTCTGCTCCTTTATGGATCTGGCTTGAAAGTTCAGGTGTTAGAAATGAGCTACTGGTATCTATTTTCTCCTCTCTGTGATAATTTGAGTAGAGTCATAAAAAAATGGTTTCTCATTTTCTTATTAAGCGATAAAATGATATGCTGTATTTCCCTCTTTTAGATGCAAACAATGCCAACTATGAGCAATATTTTAAATGATAGAGTGGTAACCTATTATAAATAAAATATTTCACCTTAAACTCAAGCAAATACTTAGGAGGTCACATGAAATCATTTTCATACAGAAATATCAAGCTTATTTTCAATTTTTTACTATTCAAATTATATGGTCAACAAGGATAAAATAAAAACCCATATAAATTCAAAGCAAATACTTCTGCTTTGGAAATCCTGATATCCAATTGAAATGTCCAGTGGTAGTGAACTAGATCAAAGTTAAGTCATTTCACTTTGTGTTGTGTGAATATGTCCTATGCACAACAGTGGCTACTTGATGATTTCCTTTCTTCCATTTTTGATTCTAGGTTCTTTGCAACTTAAATACAGACCTATGTTATATGACATGTGCTTCTCATCAATGTCTAGTGGTAAAAGGAAGCTCAGATTTTTCCAGTGATGCATATTTCTCTTTTTTAAAATAGATTCGTTAACACAAATATAAGTACATGAGTACCATCAAAATCAACTTATAAATTAAAACCAAAGCAATGCACTTGGTAAACATAGGTTTGTTTACATGAAATCCTAAAAAAATGTTTGGATAATATTTTCAAATGCTAACCTGCAACAATTTTATCTATTCTCAATTATTAAATGTACTTACCTTACTCTAAAATTTTTAGACAATTATTTTATGGGGCTAGAGAATGTTTTACCAAAAAACTCCGCTCTCTTTAACTGCTGTAACATCTCATTCTATCCTAGCATAACCACAAAATGAAAATGTGGTTTGTGGGTCTGGATTCTTTCCATGTCATGTTCTCTTCATGTAATTATCATAGAATTTGATTTCAATATGTCATTCTGACAAGCAACTTATAGAGGCACTCAGTGCAAGTTTGTCAACAAAACCATTACAGTGGTGTAATTGACCAGTGCCTTTTAATCTTCTTTTGAAACAACAGAAACAGGTAGCAGTAAGTAAATACTTCTCTGACACATGATCTGAGAGTAAGCCTGAACTGAGAGAAATCTGTGCCACTACTGACAGAAGCACTCTTGGCCAGATAATTTAAAAACAAATTCCTAGTTTCTTCATTTGTTCTATAGTACAGGGTTAACAATAGCACTTTATGAGATTGGCTTGAAAGCTAAAAGAGGTAAATCAAGTCTGGGGCTTAGGATAATACTTAATGGTGGTCAACAGTTATTAAGATGTGTGTGTGTGTGTTATCTATGATATATATATATTTGTAGTTATATGGCTAATTTTAATCATGCTCATTCATGCTTTCTTGTCACAAATAATAGAATAGCACTAAGTATCAATTGAGTAATATAAAACCACCACATATAAAAACCAGTGTGTTTTCAAATAATACAACAAAGCAATAAATAAGCTGCCAACATTTTTGTTACAAAAACACCGAATTTAACATTTGAAAGACAATTTCCATAAAATCAATGACTATAGCTCTAACAATCTGAATTTCTTTACCAAGGATTTTCATCCTTCCCAGAATTATCTCAAATGACCACTTTCATTATCATACTGACCCCATATTCAAAGTAAACAATCAGAAAAGGCATAAACAAAGGCAAAATACTAATCTTTGTTTCCATTAACTTTTGACACAGGGTAGACATTTCTAAACTGCTTTCTTCAAAACTAATCCTGAGCAAAACTAATCATGGAGGAAATATAAGCAATAAAATAATAGTCCAGTCTATGAAGTGTTACTTCTGCAGTCTGCTAATTTAATGTCAAGATACTTAGATCTTTTCCTCAGAAACCACAGGTATTCAGAAGGAAAGCTTATGTTGATCTGAACATGCCAAAACAACAGGCAGAAAGCAATAAATAAGTTAGCAGTGTGAGCAGTATGGTTGTCTTTCATGTCCTTAATGGTGTGTTGAGTTCATGGAATCACCTGGGTAAGTGTGACAGAGTACACAAAGCCTTCTAGCAAGAGCTCACTTTACAGACTGGGTTGCTGTCGAATCACTTAACCAGATTAGAAAGCACAAAAGTGTTTCAACCAAGTTGCTCAGTGAAGTCCTGGAAGAGAAAAATTTGCACTAGCTCTATTGTGTTCCCTCCTCCCTGCCCTTCTTTTTATAGTTATTCATTTTGTATGACTACCTGGTTTCCTCTGATGTGCAAATGCTTTTCATCATCTCCTAATGGGAAGGAAAGAAACTACCAGGCTTTCTGAAATGTCTGATTCTTACAAACAAATCAACCAATCAACCAACCTTTAGAAGTGAAATGCACGATAAGAATACTTTTAAATACTCCAGGCACAGAGATAAGATCTTTATATCTGTTATCCATTGAACAAGTCCAGAAGCTTCATTATCATTTAATATAATTGAGATAAGATGCTCAAGGGCATAACCTTTGTAAGTGATCTGTTGAATTTGAATGTTGATGTTTTTAAGGAAGCAATAAAGATTTATCTCTTTTAATAGTCATTTATTTTGTTATTTATAATTTTCTGATGTTTAATAATGTACTGTGTATTTTTTCTGGACCAAAAATTGTGGGTAATACAGAGTAAGATCCTGACCTCTGTTACTTAAGCAATAGTGAAGTATGAAGAAATACATAAGGTGTATGATCTAATTCTAGAGACTGTCATATGCCTTTTGTAAATTAACATATGATTAAGAGTTAGAATGTGGCCAGAATGAGGGAGGATATTCAAAATAGAACAGTCTACATAGACAACAAAAGATATGGATGAATCAGTCCCTGATTCAGTCCTAAGGTTAAAATTTTGAGGAAGGGGAAGAACAATGTGAAAAGAACACAAAGCAAAAATCGACACTTTTTTTTTCAACGCTAAGATTAGGAAGTTCAAAAAGCATAATTTACTTAATGACTTTTGATTTTGAAGGTCAGACTCCTGTGCTATATCTTAGCATTCCAACTGTAAATGGTGGCAGCTCAAAGCTGTTGGTTTTTGTCTTTCCTATCTTCTAAAAGGACACTATAAGTTGGAGAATTTACTTTTCTCTCACATATCTGTAGGTTTAGTTAGAAAAATAAACTGTATCTGCAAGAATGAAAGGCCAATTTGAAGATTTTAATATGACTTCTGGGAGGAAAATGTTATGATATTTCTCATCTCTACTTCAAATTGCAGTTTTAATCCATTCATATATTATATAGTTTTTCACAACAAGCGATATATTATTACCTTTCTTTCTTAAAATGATTTTTCATTCTATTCCTATGAAAATTTAGTTGTACTTAAGACTACATTTCCATTTCTATAAGAAAAACAGATGAAATACACTTACAAAGAAGTTACAATTTCTCAAATATATCCTAAGAGATATTTGAACTTTATATTCAGTTGTGGCATTAATAATAAATTTACTGTTTAAAATGAGTGAATTCTTTAATTCAGTTATTTTATATTTCTATACCTGGAATGCTTGCATAAACAGTTAAAAAATTACATTATAGTAGAACTGGTTTTGTTAGAGTAAATTCATATACCACTCAATCCTTATTCACATCTTATATTTCAGTGTGGAAATGCAATGATTTGATTGTACAGTTACATTGGACATATTTTAAAAGGTTTCCAACTAACTCACATTACTTATTAGGAAGCTTTTCAACTCCCACTGTGTTTAAGTTAAGAAGAGAGGATTCTTCAGTACTTTGATTAAATTTCATTAATTTGGAAATAAATTCAGTGAGTATGGTATGGTCTAATAAAGCATTATAAGAAAAATATTTAAACTACCCCTAATGTTAGGCTGAAGGAAGCCTGGGGTACATACAGCAGAACACCATATGACATAGAACAGTTACAGTGAGTGAAATGTATGAGTTGAGAAAACTCATCGGCACTGAGAGATGTTCTCAAGGACCAGTAGATGGCTGTTTCTGAACTCATATATTTGTGATGTTTTAAATCAAGATATTTAAGTGAAAAATCTAATTTACTAAAACAAGGACAACAAGGTATGCTTTGTAAAGTAGAAGTTTGTTCTTAATGTTTCATTGTAATATTTTGTGAATAGTTTTGCTTGAACTCATTTTTTGGATTGAAATGTGAAAAACAGTTTTTAGGAGAAAAATTCTATTTGTAATTCAAGAACTATGTGAAGAAATTGAAGAAACACAAGTTCCTAACATTGAATCTATTTAGATATAAAAGGAAAAGGTGAGAGTTAGTAAAATGTGTCCAAAAAGCAGAAATAGCAGTATTCAAAGATTTTTTTAATTAAATTGAAAAAGTTGAGAAGTTTTGACCTAACAACTGGGAAATTTTTTTCTTGGTAAATTTTAGTTGAGACTTATCTCAGCAACCTAGAACAGTATCATTGTCTCTATAGTTGTAAATGTTCAGTTTGACTTTAAAGTTGTTTTGGATCTGTGTGAAATATCAGGCAAATTAATAGGAAAAGCAATAACTCTTCCCTTTCCCTACACATACTACTTAGATGTTACATGTGTTTTTTTGTGTAAAAAACATGGAACCCTTTGTGTTGCAAGGAAGGATAGGAGGTAGGATTTACTGTGCTCACAAATTGTTAAATAGTAATTAAAATGTAATTTATAACTAATTCTGGTAAAGTTTATTTATTTACTTTATCAGAAGGGTTCTGTTCTGTTTTTTCAAGGCTTATTATGAGTAAGAGTCATTGCCTCTGAGGGCTTGGCAAATTCCAGAGTTCTGTCTCTTTCTCTTTCTGTTCCCATTCTTTTTATCTCCCCCTCTGACTCTTTCCTTTAATTGACCTTAATATAAAACTGAAGTATATCTGGTAAATAATGTTTCATGTTCTCTGTTTCTAATTTAAAGCATGGATGAGTGGTAGACTTTTCTCTAAGTAAAAAAATAACAAACAGTACACTAAATCTACTTTTTGCATGGTTCTTGGTTTTTATTAAGATGGATCAGTGACCCTCAATTAACAAAGGAAAAATGCTTCTTCTACCAAAGACTTAGCAAGAGTGACAGAAACATCGGAAGAACTGAAGAGCAGGAACAGTTTGATAGACGTTTTAAAAATAACTATGATCATATGTGAAACAAAGCTCCTCTAGAAATCTAGGTTGTTTGAAAGAAAAAAATTCTATTGTTGCTGGCTCTGTATGAACGTGCTTTGTTGCCATTCAAATCAGCATTTTGTGAGATGGCCCTGGTCTCCCTTCAGTCTTGCTGCAAATTATACTGTATTGCTTTGCACAGATACTTCTGCTAATAAACATGTGTGCCTTTCTTTATTACTAGAAACAAATGACTCAAGGCAAACTCAAGGGACTCCATGGTCACAGATAAATTGTGGTAAAGTCAGCCCAAGAAATAAGCTTTTGAATCAGTTCATGTGTTCATTCATCACTAATATATGAAGTGCCTGCTACTATGTGCAAGGCAGTATGTTGAATTTGGGATGTTTAAAGAAAACAAAGCAAACATGATCCCTGCTGTCATGGAACTTTGTGATAGCCATCTTATTACTTCCTCTTCTAGTGTGTAGTTCTTTTTTTGTGTCTAGTTGAATTTCCTGTTGTAGTTGATAATTCTAGGGAGTGGAGTGGATGTGTCTTAATCAGAGACTATAGATTGCTTAATATGAAATCAATTAGCAAGAAAGTTTTAAAGGATTAAAAAGTTTTATTATTTTTGACTAATTTACTTAAGTTTTTCTGACATAATTATAGACAATTTTGGTTTTAGAAATCATTCAAGGTCTTCTTTTACATGAACATTATAATCTGCATTATAATCTTAACCCTGATATCATATATATGATACAGGTACTAATATCTGAATTCTAAATTTGATGTTAAATATTAGAAAAACAAGAATTTGCTCTATTCTCTGCAACAAGCAAATAACAGAGTTGGGCTCTGAGACCAGTTCTGTCTGTTTAAAGAAAGCACATCTTCATCTCTCTTGTTATCAAGGATATCTAGATAAATGAGTATTTAGAATGTTATATATACCTGGGTCTTTCTAGAAACGGATATCTCATGCTTTACCCAAGTCTAAGGATTTAAAAGGAAGAAAAATTTTGTTTGTTCCTACACAAATACTCCATTTTTGAAAGATAGCTAAAGTCAAATAATAACATTACTTCAAATAGAAAGAAGATAAGTTGGGAGGCAATCTAGCTAACTTAGAACGTAGGTAAAATGAGGTGTTGTTTTAAATAATATCTTCATTTCATATGGGTTAAAATTTGTACCTCTTCAAATTCTACCCATTATTTAATGTTTCAATGGAAAATAATATCAGAAATCTTCTGATCTTTGAGTTAGAAAGTAAGAATGAGTTTTCCATTCTCCTTCCTATAACTTTTTTTTGTTATTGTTTTTTAAATTACTGTTACATAGGGATCATTTTAGATGATTACTTAAGTATAGTTTGTGTGCCTATTGATTGGTAAATTCTAATGATAAAATTAGTAATTTATCATTGAGAGAGCTCTACATATTAGATATTATGTAAATCTACTTTGTAAAGTATTTTAAACAATATTATGACCCATTAGGAAAAAAATGAAGCTTACTGAGCGATAGAAACAGTTTTTTGTCCATTCTAGAAATAAGTGGTGAGGACAAAATTAGGATATATACTATATATTCAATCACAGTAAATTTATATCTGCATTCAAGAGCAAACTTGCTCAATTCAAACTTGTTTATTAGGGTCATAGGATTTGGAATTCCAGGAGATCACTGATTTCTTTTTTTGACTGTTGGTTTTGCCATAGAATATAATTGATATACTTAAGTTCATATTCTTCAGAAATGTAATGTGCATGAATGCTTTAGCAAGTGGTTGTTTATTCTGAGAGATCCCCACCATATTAGTTTTAAATCTGCAGCAATGAGTCTCCTATTTAGTAGTTAAAAGGTTGCTGCATGTCCACAGAGGGAATGGACAGAATATTGGATTATATGTTAATGATTTTGATTTATGTGAATTATAATAGAAAACCTAAAATTTTAAAACCAAAAAATTAGACAGTCAAATTTATATCTGACTTCAACATATTTTTTAGTTAAGGTAACAATGATTTATCCTATAAATCAGAGGCAAGTATTCTCACCTCTTCAGATATTTGTTATGATAAAATACCTACTGCCAAGCACCACTAGACTTGTACCATAGTCCACTTGATCTATTGCTATTTAGTTCTACTTTCCCCCTCCCTCTTTAACAGTCTCAATTTCACACTCAGAATTTCTAGGGTTTCTTAGTAGGTTATAAAATCAGTATGGTATAGTATGGTAAATTTAATTCTTTAAGAAATGTTTCCACCTTTTCAACTAAATTTAACACAATTAGCTAAAGAAAACTATATTACATTTTAAAATGTTTAATATAATTTAGTACATTTGAGGTGCTTATAATTAACTTTATATAGAATAGAATTTTTATTTTTGTTTTGGTCAGTTTCTATCAAAACCTGGATACTGTGATACTATCATAAGCCAAAACTACCACCAAAGAATATCTACATGATTTCCGCAAAATAAATGACGTTGTGTATCTTAAAGTACTAGTTGAATTCTGAATATTTGATACAATATAGGCTAAAAGCTAGTGTTCCACTTCCTTATGTACCTAGCATCCAATGAAGTCATAATTTGTGGATTTCAATAATTTTGACGTGCTATTTCTATAGTTGGTTCTGAAGCTAATAATGTTTCAAAATAATAGTTGAAACATAAGGGAGAGGAAGGGGTGGGAGAGCGTAGAGGGGAGAAGGTGGAAGAGGAGGAGAATGGTATTGAGAAGATGACAATTATGCTAAAGATACAATGAAGCATAGCTAATTATTCTTATCACATTCCATTCTATACTTACTGGTAATCAAAATAATGAAAACCATGCTCATGTACTAAATACTAGTGCATGTTTTGGTATTTACTTTCTTACTCATAAAAAATACAAACACTTGTTGATTTGTTAGATAGAGAAACTGGAACTGACTCTCCTTTCCAAACAGTAAATTTGAAGGAAAATTAAAAGTATAATTTAACAATTTTAATGATGACCACTTAAACCAGGAAAAATAAACTAACCATAATATATTCAGATTATCATTTTCAGTAATACATATGAAATTCCATTGCTACTATTTATGGAAATTATGGTTCCCATGATGAGCTATGGAATTGACCAAGAAGTTGCAAATTTAACTAAGAAGACTTATAACAATTTGACAGACTCCAAATCAAATGCAATTGTTTATTTATTTATTTTGGCTCCCTTCCTGTACATGACTTTATTCTTATGTATGTTAGCTAGGTGAAGTCAGGTTTAATGTATTTGACCAATTTTCTATCTCTATATTTGCAAAATCAATAGAAGTCAACATATTTCAATTTATTTTAAATAGCCAGTTTATTTTAAATATGTTAAATCACATATTTTGTATATTTTATCAATGAATGATATAAACATAACACTGCATTCACTAAATAGTCAAATATAAAAAAATTGCAATTTATGTACTTACTTGAAATAAAAGAATATGCCAAGTGAGATAAGCAGTGATGCAATAGATAATCCATGTCCAATTATAGTCAGGTAAAACAAATTCAGTGCCGTCTATAATTTGTATGAATAAAAAAAGTTTTAAAAGCTCATATCAATATTAATATAATTTTGTATGTGTAGAAAATCAAATTAAATAAATTTTATCTAAAAAAACTTCAGCTCCCATAACTTTAGTGTTTGTCTTGCAAATCAATAAATACCTAAATATATCTGTACAGAACTACAACTTTGTAAAACTATTAATTCACATCAAAATTTGTAACTATATGCCCTTTTTATTTATGGAATTAGATAAGTCATATATTAAATATTCTAAGGAATTTTTTTTTTAATCTAGATTGCCTCATAGTAAAGCCAGCACTTTATGTTTTGGAGGACACTGACAAATATCATTCTACATTTAAACACCTTAAGTCAAGTGTTATTTGATGAAATATACATTTCTGTTTAGATTTAAATGACCAGCAAAGGTTTATTTTCCAACTATATTTCTCTTTTTCCTTTTACAAATATAAGACAAATATGTCAGAGCCAAATCTTAATAATTGATATGTATCTGCAATGTATATAAAGGCATTCTAACTTTCTCCTAATTTCTCTTTGATTTTTAACTATGTTTTCTGTATTTGTAACTTAATTTATTTTGTATTTTTAAAAAGTTCTCTTTAAATCTTTCTATGAATAAGCCATGAACACATTACTTATGATTAAAATGAAAGCTGACAATTCAGTTTTAAGTGCTTACTATCTGTTCCTAAGTTTTCTAAGCATTTCTTAGCCTTTTCCTTCTAATCAAGCAATCTTTTTGAAAAACCTGAGGGTAGGTTTATTATTATCCCCACCTCATTTGAGGGTGAGATGATACAGAGAGTGGTTATATCTTGCCTGAGGTGAACTTGCCTCAGTATTCAAGCACTTGTAAATAAATATATGCAGGTACTTGCTATCAAAAGTTTATTGTTGTTGAAAAATATTGATAACCTTGATATTAATAAGTGGTGTTTAAAGTGGGATTGTATATTGGAGTGACCTAACAGAGTCGGGGTTGTTTAAACACTGCCAGGCCTATCTTGTTTACTTGAGCACAATTATTGAAGATAACTCTAGAGACTCCATCACAAATAAAAGTCCCTTTCCTTTATACTTTAATGTATGTTCTCTTTGGAAAATTTGACCTCCAGGACTAAAACATTGACTTGTAAATACATCATTACTTAGATTGCTTCTTCAGCTTAATGACAGGATCAATTATAGCCCTTTCAACAAAGATACTTTTCTGTATTGCTGTCTTCAACGTATATTATGAAAGGATTTTACAGTAGAATGGAACACTCACTAAATTTTCCCAGGGCTGTCATAGGTAACTTTTTTAGTAGTGTAAATTACACCTGAATGTATATTTATGCATACCTTCACTTTCTCATGTGTGTTAACATTACACTGGGTATAATTTGTCCATGTTTTGTTGCTTTCTGGATGTTTAAACCAATTTCCATCTTGGTCACAGATTTTTGTGACTTTTTCTATAAAATTGAAAAAGGACAGAGAAAATAGTAATTTAGTTAACCAATCATTTGTAGAAGAGAACTGTATATAAGTTTCTGCTTTTTACCTGAAGGATCAAAGTCCTGGAAGTAATCAGGGCAGTGCTGCATCGACTCAGTCCCTGCAGGCACATCGTTCCAGCACAACCACCCATCCCAGGTTCTGTTGCAGTAAATTCCTTCAAGGGGGAGAAACATGAATCATAGCTCCCTCTTCCTACACATGAAGACATAAAGTCTAAATAGTGGGTTCTCACTAACATGCAAAAAATATGGTCTACTGAAAAAATAAAGATATATAAAATCCATAGTAATTATATGGATTTTCATGAGGTGACTATTAGAGTACCACAGTAACATGTTAAACATTATTACTGAAAATATCTCTATGTGCACATTTTTGTCAGAACTTTTCAAAAGTGCAAGATAAATTATGTTGCTTATATTCTTCATAAATAAATAATTAAAATGCATACATACAAAAATTTAGTAAGTATTCCATAATGATATAATGGGGTAGTTGTCTTTTAAAAAATATATCAATTGCCTTTAAAATTAAAGTCATGTTTACCTTCTGTTTGTTGAATGGGATCTTGCATGATTTTTTGATAGCATTCATACTGAGCCGTCATGATTTTATTTCTAGTGACACTCAGCTGAGTTAAGTTTTCAGGGTTTTCTTCTGATTCTGCTACGGCAAAATTCTAAGGGATTAAAACAATAAAACTTCAGAATGGTGAAAATGTCTGTTGGAGACAGTGAGTCACAATGGAAATCACTAAGGGCGCTGATGTTGCATGGTCAACTGGCTTTGGGAGGAAATCCCTGTTTGTAGTGTTTGCCAGTTCCCTAGCATGGTATAAATATCCCCACAATATCCAATTTCAAGGCACAACAAAAAGTTATCAATGGCAGGGTTGGGAAGCTCAGCTTTCAGATATGTTCTGGGATTCATACAGAAATGTATTCAAATCAACATTTACTTTTTCACCTGCTCTGTGAAAGTAGCAAGATACTTAAGCCCCTAAACCTCTCCTTTCCAACTGTAAAATGGGATAAAACAGTATCAATAACAGGAATTATCTAGCACATGGTAAAATTCTAATCATTTTGATAATCATAATATACTTCATTATTATGCTGGTAAATAGATTTTATAATGTAGGCACATCAATGAGGTTTTGGACAAAGTATATATTTGTGTTCTTCCAATGTAGTGGCATTGTTTTAAGCTTCACTTTTACTTTGATTTTACATATTTTCCCCTGTTTTGCAATATAAAGTGGGAATAGACCTCTCTTCAGTTTTGTCTAATCTCTGTTAACTGTCTTTCTGTAAGCGCTCATGTCTCTGCTGTTATTTTGTCCCCTATTCTTTATTACTGTTGAACTTATCAAAGTCTCTTTGGTAATATTCCCTCAGTGTGCGATACCACTCAAGTTTCATCATCACCTCCGTGTCATTTATCTTTAACTCTTATTCTTTAACTGGCTTTAATTGCCTAAAAAAGATGTAAGTTGCAGTTGTGCTACAAGTAATAAATAGAAATTTACATCAAGATTCATTTTTTCTCTGGTTCTTAGAAAATTAATAGTTACACAAATTCAAATTCATTTTGATTCCTGAAGACTCAGATATGCATCTTGTCTGAATAAATTTAAGAGAAATGGTCATAATGTCTCAAATTACTATAATCAAATTGGTAATCTTACAGAATACTGGGAGGGAAACTGTTGGTGTGTGCTGCTCATTGGCAAGCACAGTGGAGGGTGTGAACTGAAGAAACAGAAATCCTGCTTCTTGAGTTCTCTTCTGTTTACCCAAGATAACATCTCAGAAGTACAGTTCTGGGATTGCTGCTAGACTTAAGAATGTTTCCAAATACAAATGTTAACAGAAATGTAGTCTTTCTTCTTTTTCTCATTTAAGCTTGTTATATTTCTCTTGAATTTCCTTATGTGAGACTTTGGGGGGATTACTGGAAAAGGCTACTGGAAAATTATTTGCTGGAATAGAATTAGATGAGATTGTATCTCTCAGTTTCTTGTAGGCATAACATGACATCAGATAATAGTGCAGTCAGTTTTAATGTGAGGCAGAAAGAATATGAAAATTATATTTCTGTAAATAAAAATACAATTAAAAGTACAATGTCTATAACCCTACAGTAAATCAAATGCTTTTAGTTATCTTTAGTTTACCTTCCACGGTCCACCCTCCATGCCAATGTATATGAGCAGAAACATGTCTGATTCTACACATGTACATGTACAATTGTCCTGAACTTAACATTGGCTAGCAAAGAAACACACAATAATTATTTCTATGAATGAGTGAGGAACTTAATTTTAAAATGTAGGGCATGATTGTGAATTGCTATCTGTTCATTAGTAGTCAGTCCACTGACAGAATGGAAAAAAATCAACAGGTTGGATCTGCTTTTTAAATAGATCTAATTCAAAGTCAGTAGACCTAGCTGAAACTTTATCTACTATGTACGATTATACTACATAGTTATTCTTTTCAACTGATAATTATTTTCCTCTGTTGTTTACACACTTGCACCCATTGACCTGCTTCACTTTGAACATTGCCTCCCCACACTGACCCACTATCCCATAGAACTTGTTGAAGTGTTGAAAACCGAAAAGTGTACACTGAAAGGAAATAAATCATCCTGTATTGATGAACATGCAATTAACTGAAAACTGAATATTATTTATCTCTATCAATTGTAAATATATTGAAAAGCAAAAAAATAATTGCGATGGAGGAGTTATTAGAAAATTTATACTTACCATAAAACAAGGCAATACAAACAGAAAATATAGGATACACTTTTTCTCCATTCTTAAAGCAAAAATGAATACAATATAAATTGAACTGCAATAGAAAATGAGAATTGTTATCTATTAATATCTATGAAATCATTACCCTATACAGAAAATTTCTTTTAAAAGATACAATATTTTCTTTGATTATTAAATGATAGTCTTATGTGTTATAAATATTAAGCTCATCATAAATTTAATTAGTCTTCCACACAGGAAAGCATCATCACATAAATCTTTAATTATTAGAAAACATATGTCTTTCTTTGCCTTTACTAAATTGGGTAAAGTCATTAAAGTGTCACAATGAAGACTTCTAACAAGCATAAAAGTTTAACAATTTGATGGCATGTTACTATAAAATTTATTTAGCTTTTCATTAATATTAATCTCATTTTTAACTTTATACCATTTAAACAATTTAAGAGAGAAAATTCCTTAAACCAATTTCCTGATAATCAACATTCATATGTCACACAGATGGCCTTAGAATTTAATAGATATGATTATTCACTGCAAGATTCAGTTGCTTTTTTCAGGAAATTAAAGATTCCTTATTCATCTACATTATAAAATAATGGTACAGGAGATGAACAATATCAAATAAAAGTATTTTTAAGAATATTTCCGCAGATGAGCTAATGAAAAAAAAAAGGTCTAAAACACCACCGACTAGCTGTCGAATGCTGAGAGACAAACCTTGCTAAAATAAAGTATACAATGCTTATTAAATATAAGATCCATGAATAATTTATTCTGATGGGTATTTTATAAGATATGAATTATCATGTTATAGATATAAAATATAGACATTTAATTTAATATGTAAATTTTTTACTTAGATTTAAATTGTTTTAAGAAACTTGTTATGCTTTTTATATAAAGCAAATCTTAGAATATGAATTATAAAAATCTTTTTTGTATGTTGCTTATTACTTTGAGTATTACATGCAATGATCCATAACACTACCTACTACCTAGTATCCAGAATCCATGCTATACCCTTCCTTTCCCAAGGACTCACCTAGAAGGAGTTTCTCTTTTTAATTGTAGCACTCTTCTGATTAATGCCTTCTCTTCTATCAGCTATAGTGGGTTTTTATTGTAGTTGATCTTGAGAAAAATATGACCCCCCAAAATCAGGAAATATATTAATTTTAGAATTAAACACATTGTAACAGTAGGAAAACAATGAATCAAAATTTTTTGCAATTTACTAATTAATGAGTTGACATTTTAGTTTTTATTACATTTTACTACAGGAAAATCTAATTTTCAAATACTTACATGCACAATTGTCTCCAGACTCAAATCACATTTTCTCTTGGATCATATTTGACAATGTCTTGAATAATTTCTTAAATCCAGGGGTCATGACCTGAAATATTGATTAATGTAACAATTTAATTTAATTAATTGAACCAAATAATTTAACAAGCAAAAATAATTTCCATGATAGACTGAAATTTTCAAATACTGCTATTAAAATGATATTTTGATCAAGCTATTCCAACTTTTAAAATTATCTTTGGCTAACATATATTTGTTTTTGTCACAGATATACACTGTTTCCATTAAATGAAAAAACATATAACTTTTAGTTGCTAAGATGTTTAGAATACAAAGCAATGAACTGTTTAAGTATATTTCAGAGGACTAGAATATGATAAAAAGTCTTTGAAGTTAAAATACAGTTTAATTTACCTTTAAATTATTTTTTCTTTAATGATTTATTTGGTTGTATTATTAGTCTTATTTTTATATATCCATTGACCTTTATACTGTAGGTTCACAGCCTAAAACAATATCTAATTACTTACTCTTTGTAACTGGCTCTTAATTTATTTTTGCTATAAGAATGCATGAAAAATGAAATAATAAAATATTTTAGAATCTGACACACTCAAGAACACTAATCACAGCTACTAGTTAACTGTGATTTCTATTAGAAGGTTATAGATAGTGTCTGGATTTGTATTTACAAATAGAATTGGGGAAAGAATAGTTCTTATATAGGAAGATTTACTTTCTTAGCAAAAAATGGCCTGAAAAGATTTAGTTTTGAGTTCTGTGGTTGCTTAGAATAGGCAGTAGTGTACATACTGACTTTGGAAGTCATAAATGTTAATCAGATTAAACAATTTTATTTCATATTTAAAACAATGGTTGTTCACATTTCTGCATTGATATATAAATATATATGTAAATGTAAAGAAATACTAGTCTATTTGGAAAAAGGTAGTTTTTTATAAAACAATTCATACATACAAGTCAGGATTAAATTTCCTTTAATATGTAGAAGGACACATAAATGGAAGGGGAAAGTACTTCCAAAAACATGTTTGTTTTTTTTCCCAAACCTAAAATATCTGCAAAAACATTTCACCCTACACTAGCAGTTATTTTTGTTGCTTTTTTAATCCAAGAATTCATACTTATATAGCAAATGGAAACTTCATTCTCTTCTTCTACACTATGTAGAATAGATTGTGCCACTAATAGGCATACCCTCTGTGAGACTGTGTCATGTCCATTTTATGAGAGATTTCCTTCTCTTGAGTTACCGCTCTACAAAGAACTTATCAAAATGACCTTGCTGGTAAAAACATGTGACATTTGGTAATCATGGAAGAAACATCCCTTTCACCAAGAAGGTCAATTTAGATTGAGTCTCATAATGTCATCTGTCATGTTTATCAAGATTATTCTCAGATATTTAATTGTATTTCTTCATTAACTCATTTCTTTTTTGCCTGCTGCCTCTGACTTGCTCAATCACTACATGGTTCTCTCTTCTGTGTTTGCTTATCCTAACTTTATCCTCAATAAATTACATTTGTTATTAACCGACCAAATATGTTATGGAAATATTTGTAAATCACTTTCAGATGTTGTCAAATTATTTCCCTACAACTAGGTTGTGTGCTATGTAAAATATAGTAGCTTTTCTTCAATGATGGAAAGATATTAAGTACATAACATATGAGGACATGTTAAAGGCCTAAATCTGTAAGTGAATTTTTCAAGTGTGCTTAGGCCTGTTCAGAGGAAAAGGATTTCAAAATTGAGAAAGCCCTAACTTAAAAAAAGTATAATCACTATGGTACAAGTCACTAGCATTTCCTCTTTCTAATAGCTAGCCTAATGGATCCTATACTTTTACATTAGTTCTCAATATTACACAAAGTGAAAGGAGTTTGGTTCTGAACTACAATTGAAACTATTTTCTTTATTGTATAAAGGAAATAAAAAAAGCTTATTTCTATTTTTAAGTGTTATTGCCCCAAAATTGCCAACATAACATAAAACAATTTATTTCATCACAGAAAGAACTGTGAAAAATGAAGACTGTCTTACATTCAAGTAGTTTTTGGACCATAGCTGCATATAGTATAGTCATTCAGCACTGAAATAACCTCACCCTGGTATCATTTCTTACAATCCCCACAGATCTTTGCAAGATAGACTTTTATGGATCTACATTTCCAAATCCTTAAATTTTAGGAGGCAATCTTCTTGCCTTACTTCAGTGTAAAATCCACATTGTGTTCTACACAGAAATGAAAAATCAGGGCCTTCCTGGTGGCACAAGGGGTTAAGTCTCAGCACTATGCAGCAATTCACAGCCACCAACACAAAGTCTATTGTCAACCAAGGAGGTATCTTGCCCACTGCTCCCCTCAACAGTGTATTTCAGTCAATTTGCCTGGTCTGTTCCCCAGTCTGTTTCTGGTGAACGCTCTCATGCCCTGAATCTCTGACCTGTATCCCGGTTCTTGTATGCATAAATAAATAAATCTTCAAAACAAAGAAATTATAAATCAGTGTGATGTTATCAAAACTAGCATATCAGAACAAATTAACATAAAACCTGTAAATGTATACCAATATCTCCTATTTTTTACTCTCTTCAATTTTTAATACTCATTCACACCTTCCATTATATATATTTTTTCTCTTTAATGGAAACAAAACCTAATAATAAAAAGGTATATTCATGCCAAAGTTAAGTGGGTGAGAAACAAACCTTTTATCATGTACTCCTTTATTTCCAAAATATTTTGGCTTTTTAAAGGCATTAAGCCATGCTCTTTTCTCTGATTACTTATCCAGTAACTGTAAAGTTGGCTAATAGAAACATTTCTCACACACATCTAATTTGCCAGTAAGTATTCTAGACTTTGTATGAGCAAAACTAGACTGTTTCCTGTCTCCTACATGCCTTCTCTTATGGCATATTAAACAAGTTACATTTCTCTTAATCCAAATAAGCAATAAGCACTTTTCTCTAATCCAATATTCATACTTATATAGCAAATGGAAACTTCTTCCTCTCCTTCTACACTATGTAAAATAGATTGTGCAACTCAGAAAAAGTATCAAAATTCATGATCCTGGATATCTTTTATTCTTTTCTCATTGTTTTGTTTTTGGTAACATTTGTCTTTGTGTTAGATTTATTAGTGTAAACTACTATCTTTATTTCTTTAAAAATGAAATGTTAGTTACATCCTTACCCCATCATGGCTTGGAATGTTTCGAAACACTTGGAATAGATTAGAAATTTCAGGTATAAAGGATTTTTATTTCCTAAATATTTAGTAAATTGTGGATAATTTTTTAATAGGGTTTTGGGATTGCAGTATATTTTAGGCTATTGAATAAATAGCTGTTAAGTCACTGATGTAGCATAAATTAGTGTTCTTCAAAGTGTTGGATCATGGATCTACCTGCATCAGAATCAACAACAGAAATTGCTGAATGTGTTAGAATGTCCGGGATCCTTCACAGAACCTCAAGACCAGAATATTAATGACAAGATGAACAGGAATCTTTATTTTTAATAGACATCTAAATTCTTGGCTTGTTAAAACTTGGGAAGCACAAAACAGATATATCATCCTCACTGAGCCATGCTGGAAACTGGACACACATATGTTTCTCCATCTCTAGTACTGGCCAGACTATTTTTAAAAGGACTATCAAGTTTAAATTAAGCAAAAAATTCTGCAGTGTTTCCAGGCACAATTATTACCTTAGATTCCCAGAACCAGTTATTCAAATATCTACTTAAAACTTCTAAAGTAACACTGTAATTATTTTGTTTTTGTGCATTTATGTCACTAGATTGTAAGTATGGTAAAAAGAGGCCTTGTACCAGATACATTTCTGTGATTACAAACCCTAGCAGCATTGGGGATATAAAAAGAGTATGCAGAAAGTGTAGTTTTGAATGGATTACTTCTATAAATGAATTTAATTAAATTGAGGAAATCTGGTGTTTTGGATGGTCTTAATCCTCTCAAGCATATTGATGAAGGCCCAGGAATAAGAATTTTTTCATTCTCTCCCATGATTTTAATATATAATAATGGTTGAGAATGAGAAGTATAGACAGAAGAATCCTACAGAATAATGAATCCTTAAGTATTTCCATGCCATAATCCCTAGAATCTGTGATTTTAAGTTTATGGACTTCAAATGGGAAAATCATCCCAGATTATTCTGAAATATCTGGATAGGCTCAAGCCAATTACTTGCACTCTTCAGAGGAGAAGAGGAAGACTGAACAATTCAGTTCAAGGTTTGCAGCAGAATAAAAGGCACAGTAAGAGGTATACCAACAGAAGTTGAACTCTTACTGGATCTTCGTGTGGGAACCCATGGACAAAGCCAAAAAGAATCTTCTGAGAGAGTAAGACAGCCCTCAAGAGGACAGACAGCAAGGAATTCATGACCTCAGTTCTATGTACAACCTCACAGCATTGAATTCTGCCAATAACCTGAATTAATCTGGAAGCAAATTCTTCCCAGAAACTTCCAGGAGAGAACATAGTTCTGCCAATACCTTATTTGGGTCTTGTGAGACTTGAAATCAAGAAACTACTTAAATCCACAGGGTTTCTGAGCCATAAATTGTGAGATGATAATGTGCTGTTTTGAGCTACTAAATTTATGACAACTTGTTATAGTTGTGATAGAAAAGCAGTATAAGACCTTACCTGATCAAAAATTACTTTCTCCCATTGAACGCTTGGCTTAACTTTCCGCTTCAAAACTGAATGTCATTCCCCTAACCTTCACTGTGCCAGGCAATCACACTAACAAACATCTTTCCAGCTTCCCCTAATTGTTGTGTGATGTTGAGAAAATCAATGCAACACTTTTCAGCGTGGTTACCTCTTAGAAAATGAATATCAAATCTGGCTAGTTCTCTGTTTTCTATTTGTGTACTTGTTAGAAAAGGGATGCTGAAATTGGAGAAACATTGCCTCAAATTCCAATTCCTTTAATACAAATATTTCCTGAAAATGGGTGTATAAGTAGTGTTCAATTCATGTTGACTATAATTTATCATAAATCATCTTGTCAGGTGAA